ACTGTTATTTGCAATACAGTTGAGCTACACTTAAAATGAGGACTTGTGAAAGGAATAGGCTACCATAAAAAGAATTAATTTTCTGTACTTCAGATCAGAGCTGCAGCACTCAAGTGAGTCCTTTGGAAACGAATAACTGAAAAGCAATAAACCTATTAAAAGAATAAACTTTTACTGCACCAAAAGGGTGAAATAGTGACCTGTCACATGAACGGCTCAGTTAAATGAATACATTTTCTGTTTCACAAATCAAAGCACATTTCCTAGGGAAATGGACCTTTTTTGAACAAATGCCTCTTTTAGGATTAGGCAAGTTGAATCGTAGCTCCACTTTACAACATGGTTATGCATTAAGCAGATTTTTACTAGAGCAAAGTTATGGGTGTAGTTAGCAAAAAAAATTAAAAGAGGATGATCGGAATAGTTAGGTATTAAAGACTGAGTGAGACTATTCTGCATGCAAAGTGCTCGAGCTGGTGCCTTCGGTCCATGGCACACTGCTGTTGGCGGGTGCCCAGGATGCAGGGCTTCAGGTGGCGGCACAGACCACTTAAAGACTGGTGCTCCATTTCCCAGGGATGCCATCGCTCTCATCTGTTCCTGGCCAGCGACAACCATGGAGTTTGCACCTCCAGCAAGGGCACATCCAGTTCATTTAAAGCTCTGTTGCCCCATTCCTTAAGTGTTACAGCAAGGACTGACCGCTTTCACAGGTGGTTCTGCCAACAGAACCTCTGCCTGCTTACACAGGTCCTGTGCACCAGCTATTTCTTTCTTCAGTATTCTCAATAAAAATACTCTAAAACTACACACACTTAAATAAGAAATCCTGGGATTTCATGACAAGAAAAGTTTGGGTTCACTCCCAGACTTAAGCAGACAGGTCAGATACTCTCAATCCAGCTACGTAGATGAAAGTAGGAGGCTCAGGCATTTAAAAGCAAACAGACATTTCTAGGAGCTACAGACATCAGGAAGTCATCAGTCAAGAACTCAAAATGGCAGAATAAGCAATGGTTACATGAACTCAACCCCCGCCCCATGATGGTGAGAGTGAAGTCTGCCTTTCTCACAGCCCACACAAATTCATCCACTCCCCCTACAACAAGATTTTATTTACCTAGAAATTATGTGTTCAGATTCTGATGAGCTCTCACTGCTTTTTAATCCATTGCTTGAGGATTTTCTCTTGCAGGGAGCATTTGACACAGCGAGGGGCAGCACTGCCTGGCAAAACCCAACTTGCCTGTTTTTACAGGGGCTGTGTTTGAGCATCCATCAGGTGTGCTGCTCACACAGCCAAGACATGCTGCTACCTGGCATGTTTGGCAGATATCACAGTGCTGTCTCTCACTCAGAGAGAATGTTTCTTCTTCTGTCACTACCCACACGAAGGAGAAACATGAGGAGACAGCCCTTCCTCCTCACACTGCTTTTGTGCTTCATGGTAATGGCATTGCTGAGCCCTACAAAGCCTCCAGCTTGTTCTCGCTATGAACAGGGTAAGGTTCAACATTTTTATTCCACCTGTAATAACGTGGAAACTGGTATTTAATTTTTAATGTTGACTTAAAACCCAGGTGGTTGCTAGACTTTACTTATCAGCGAAATCTGTCTCCTTTATTGAGAATTAGAGAGTTCAGGAGTCTAGCACTACTGCTTGCAACTAATGCTTTCCTCCCCCTCTTCCTCTCTCAAACATCCTTTCAATTTTGCTGGACTAAAGGCAGGGGTAAGGTCAGGCATCTGACAGGGCTCCTGGGATATTGCAGGGGCCATAAGCCAACAGGAATTAAAGCAGGATATATATACTAGATTATCAAGCCTATTTCCCAGCCAGCGCAGTTTAGCAGCCCATGACACATTCCCGTGTGCTTTATCTGCAGGTCCTGAAGAGAGCTTGTAGCTATTCGTTCTGGTCACTAGGACTTTGCAGCTCTTCAGATGACCTGCAGGCTGGTTTGATCCTACACCTACAAAGGCTGTATTATCTAAGGATAAAATCAGCATATAAAGGAATAGATAAGATATTCCTGCAGAGTTGAGTCCCCAGGGTTTTAGGGTTTCATGCACTACCAGCTAGTTCATTGTACTTGTGAGATGTGCCCAGTACCACCAGAGTTTTAAAACCCACATTAGAGAACAACCTTTTTTTCTTCTTTGGATTTTCAAAAGGGAAAGATCTAGAGGCTGGAATGGAAGAAGGGAAAGGAGAAAAAAAAAAAAAAAACAAATAGGACTGGTTCCAAGAATATCAGCTACTTGTCAGCTCTGCAAAATATCTGTTAATTTATAGAGGAGAAGTGTGTAGGTTCTTTCAAAGCCATACGTCAAAGCTTTCTCCTATGATACCTAGCTTTATTCAGCTTTCATATTATGGACCAAATTGGATTTCCCTGGTTCCGGATAAACCACATAAGAGTGATGTACACTGTGATTTATTGCTGTAAGTGCTTAAAATGCCTCCCACTAAATTTGTTGTGACCTTATCACACTATTAAAACCCGAAGTAAATAAGTGCAGCGAGTAAAGGTTAACAACACACCAAATAAAACAAACAGCAAGCAGAGGGGATGGGACCTACTCGCTCACATCACTGACACGCTCCAGGGAATGAAATTGCTGCATGGTCTGGCAGCAGCAGGGAAGAGCCCAGAGGATGCAGAGCCTTAGAAATGGCAGATACAGAATGGGTTTTAAATTCCCCAGTCCACAGCTCTGCAGCCCTCCAAGCACAACAGCCTTGCTCTGCACTTTGCAAGGACACATTTTCCCAGATCAGGCCTCAAAAGAAAGTGGCATCTCTATCTCCAGCCCAGGCATGTGGGTGAAGAGTAGAGAAACAGCACAGAGGATCACAAGGCTACCTCCCTGCAGGGAGCCTACATCTAGGATCAAAGGCCAAAACCACTGAGGAGAACCCATTACAAAAGCATTAAGGATTACACATATTGCCAAGAGGTAAGTAAGCAGCTAGTAGCCTTCAAAGATGGGCCTGATAGAGAGTGTACAATTTATTTGCTTGCATCAGCCAAATCTCTCTTCCTAATCATGGAAAGACATCCCACCCCATCATACTCAAAGCAATGAGTAACTCAAAGCAGGCAGGTTTCTGAAGACCTGGGTGCCACAGAGAGCTCTTCACCTTCTCCTTAAGGAAGATCCCCTGAGGTACAAACTCCCAACACCCACAGGGAAGCAACCTCCACATCCCACAAGCACAATTCCTCCGGCTAGCTAAAGCCAAAGAGCTGAACCACTTCTACACGAGAGGTGAGAGGGCAGAGCTGCCCATTTCTGGAGCAGACTTAAGCCATCAGATAGAAAATAACACATCAACAGAAAAGTTATTATTGTCTCTATTTTCAGCACACCCGTTAGCACCCCTGTCCAGACAGAATATTGAATTCTTAAGGAATAGCTGTGCTTCTACAAGAAGAGCCTTTAAAGGAACAAACCTCACACTGATTTTAAAGAGTCATCAAGGACAAATTTACCACAGCATTTTAAATGAGGGTTCCGTCTTTTATCCATGTGGTTTCTCAAAAATATTTTTTTCCAGAAGACCCCACCTAGGTCACACGTAGATTCACACCCTTCCAGTACCTGTAAGAGGCTGCAGGAAAGTTGGAGAGGGACTCTTTATCAGGAAGTGTATGGATAGGACAAGGGGTAATCACTTTAAAACAGGTGAGATTTAGATTAGATATTCAGAGAAATTCTTTGCTATAAGGGTGGTGAGGCCCTGGCACAGGCTGCCCCATCCCTGGCTGTGCCCAAGGCCAGGCTAGATGGGGCTGGGGGCAACCTGGTGTGGTGAAGGTGTCCCTGCCCACTGCAGGGGGTGGCACTGGGTAGACTTTAAGGTGCCTACCTACCCAACCATTCTGTGATACCTTCTATTGTCTCCTCAGAGATTTACAGGTTCCCAAATAACTGAATTAAAATAGCATCATGAACTAGAGAAGCCCTTGGAGAAACATGAACAACATATGAACAAACCCAGATTGACCCAAGCAAGTGAATAGTGTAAGCCACTGTTTGAAATTGTTTCCCTGCCATTTTCCTGCTATCTGAGGGAGATAGTTTCATTTCCAGGTGCTTTTCATCACAGCCATCAATTAATCAAAAAAAAGGGATTGCACAACTCAGAGCAACAGAACACACACACCCCAGAAGTCAGAACTTTTTCAAAGTAAAAACAAATTAAAAAAAAAAAGTCATTAAGAAGACTCAAAAGGAGTGTTTGAAGTTTCCAAGACAAAAGAAAAAAAAAAAGGAAAAAAAATGAATAAAAGTTGAAGCAGGCTTTGTTAGTTGGCCTCTGCATTCAGCGCAATTACAAAAGGTTTCTTGTTCCGTAATAAATATTTCCCTGACATCCTAGGTAAGCATGAACTTCTGAAAGTTTCCCCAAACACTAAACTGTTTGAATATAAGAATATAGTACTCCAAACCACGCTTTCTTCTGATAGATCAGTAAAAGCAAGGGAGAGTCAGGTCATTAGAATCTCCTTTTTACTTATTCTAACAGCAGCTGTGATAATAAATTCATTACTTCCATAATTACTCTATTATAATTTAGTAATAGGTTTGCATTAATTTAAAAAATCTTACTATAAGGCATTATCCAAACAAAATAAGAAACAATTAAAATTAAATTAATCTAAAGTCCTACTTACAAGGCATTACCCAAGCAAAAAAAGCAATATATACCATGAAACATATCGAAAATTCTATTAAAGATGATGACTTGGAGGCCAAAAAATATCTTACTTAGAAGCATATATATGATATAACTAGCTTTTTCTGCAGTATTTTTGAAGTGGGAACACATTGCCAGTAACAGTGATAGAAGAGAGGCCAGGCAGTGAGAGAGGCAACAAGTCCAGCCTCTTATGGACATAACAACTCCGCAGGACAGGTCCCAGACTCCAGCCCATAACACTGTTTCAGCATCCCAAATGTTTTCTCAGGGAGTTATCACGGCAATCACTTACTATGGTCAGGACAGCCAGGACTCTTCAAGAAACTCTTCATAAGTTCCTACTGCCTTCAAGCCCTGGGTGAAGAAGTTCTTCCTCTCTAGCTGCAAAGAACCAGCACAGCTCCTGTGTTCACCCTTATGAGCCCCAGCAGGCTCTGAATCCTCCCCAGGTGATCACAAGCATCACCTGAGCCTCCCATCCCCCTTCCAGTGTCCTTTACCTCCTCACTGCTGGGCTAATCTGACTTTTCAGCACCCTAATCACCCACACCTTAGCGGGTTTGATGTGGGTACTGCTTATTCAAAACCAGAGTGTTTCAATGAAAAAAAAAATAATAATAATTAAACAATCAGCACCCAATGCATGTGTGTGTTTTGTTGAGTGTCCGTGCACATTTCTTGCAGAAATCGCAGCAGGTCTAAGATTGTCATTTGTTCCCTAAAGGTTTCTGAGGTCTCTGTGGCACAATCTTCTATCTTGAATCATAAACTGCTTTATTGTTTGCTACTTTGGGGAGTGTGTAGCTAAGTCCTGCCTTAGACTGCTCTTTTTTCCCTCCTTCAGGTTATAGCAGCTCTTAAATTAAAACCCTCTCAGATTTTTTGTGTTAAGTATGTGTCAAACTATTCTTGCTGCAGAGATGTATTTTCTCTGCAGCAACGGAACTCAGTGTGTTAGGGCAAAACAGCTGTGCAACAAAATACAGTTGTAACCCTAATGCACTTCTATAGGATGTCTCAATAACTCGGTCACATGCAGCATTAAGAAAAATGCTACAGATCAGATTCCCATCTGCCATGCCCCACAGAGGATCTAGGTTCTAACAGAATCATGGCAGATGAGTAACTTGATCCCAGTGTCCAGTTTTACATTTGAGAATGTGTCCATGTTCAGAAATACATAAAAGCAAACATTTAACTCTACCCTTGTCAGTTAACTCCTGTCTCTGCCTTCCTGAAAAGAGTCATTAACTGCATTTCATCTGTTCAGTTCCAAAATCCTCAAATTCAGCTGCAAAAAATGGAACCCCTTTGATCTCAGATTGCCGCTAATTCATAATTGATAACCCAGGCTGGAAGGAAGGGAAAAGCTTCGTCCCCATTAGTCGTTCCATTTAATATGTTCTGGTGCTTCAATTATGCAAAACCCAACTTTAAGGGTCTGACTGCCTTCCAAAATGTGAGTCAGTGGGGGAAAGAGAAAAACCCAGATCAAATTATTCCAGCTGTAAATCTTTGTAATAGCATAGATGTCATGAGAGTGATATCCAACGTTGAACAATTCTGTTTGTTTTCTGAGCTGTTGCTTTGTAGAATTCCCAAGGACATCCATTAATGACTTCAGAGAGCTCAGCAGAGAAGGACTCACTCTTCCCCACTTACATTTTTTGGTCAGGTCATTATGCTGCTTGCTGTAATGACCCTTTTTGGCTGAAGGCACTAAAAGCCTTGGAGTAATATATGTCCCGGTAAGTGAGAAGGAATAATTAACACAAGTCATTTTGTCCTTTACTTTGGAGAAGGCAACTGTCAATTCTTTCTGGAGACATTTAAATTATAAATGTGAAGAAAATGAGTGCAATGAAGAAAACAGTAACATGCAGACAACGCTAGGCCAAAACATGTTTTTCTGCTGGGAGACTGACAGAAGCAAAACTATGCAGCAGGGAACTTGGTTAAAATGGCACAGATGTATTCACCACCTTGCATAAATAACAGCAATGAAAAATATTTATATGGCTGTACCTGTGTTCTGTCACACGGCAGGCTGTTTTGCTTAAAGAAAAGTCACTTGATTTATATTTCTCTTGGACAAAACTATACAGCCATATAGCAAACTCCTAGGAATCAGAGGGCAATTAAAGAATGCCATTGCACAGGTGCTGTTTAAACAAGGTGAACTCATTTATTAGACAGGATGTCCCAGTGATTACCTGGATTACCTGTAGAGGACATTTAGGTTTGGTGGTTCTGCAGAATTCACCCACGCTAGCACGGAAAGAAAAGATGTAGTTTGATTTCCTCTTGATTTGCACTAAGTGACTGCTGGAGGTCATGTTCTAGGAAAATGTGAACTCCAGTAGAAGGTTTTCCTGAATTAGGATGGTGATAAGGTCTCTTTTCTGGAGGTCATCGCTACTTTTTCAGGGGTTTATAGGATCTCTACTCTGCCTATCATTGATTTTCTAGAAACTTCGTGCTCTTCCAGACTTCTCTTCCATCTGTGAAACGTGGTCAGCAGGTTCTGACACCACTGAGGAGTTTGGGAGATATGCAGGCGGTGCAATAAGCTGGATAAGCTTCCTTTCTGTGGTAAATTATGCTTAAGAAAAATTTGCAACAGAACTTCAGATTCTCTCTTTTCTTTTTTTATGGTGAATTTCCCATAGTGACAGAGCAAAGTCAAAAGCTTAGAGCAAATGGAGGAAACACCCTCACTTGTGCTTACTGTCAGAACACGTCAAAGCCATCACGTCAACATCCTTGCATTTTCTGTTACATCTTAAGGGCTAAGCTGTTAACTTTTAAAAGGCAGAATCTATTGAGTTCTCCAGGCTTCCCTTGCTTTGCTCTTACATCCCTGCTGAAACCTCATCAGTACTTGGAAGTTGTGGGGTAGGCCATGTCCTTTATAGATAACCAGATGCTAGCCATCCTCACAGATGGCTCTTTCCCTCCTTCCTCTTTGCCATGTGCTGCAATGCCACCTGCTGTTACTTTTGCCCTCCTGGCATTCTTCTTCCCATTAAAATTTCCCCTTATTTCTCAAGGGAGAGTTATGGCTCAGCCTTATACCAGTTGATGAGAGCAGCAAACTTACGGAGGCAGCCCAGGCCCTTCCCCAGACCAGCAGAGGGACCACCCTGCACCTTGCATGGGTTTGCAGCCCTGGCAGACTTTGGGAATCACATCTTGTGGCCAGCAGGATTGGGGCCTTTGATCCAGGGCCAATTCTTTCCTTGTGCTTCGCCCCTTCTGTTTTGCTGCATGTTCTCCTGTTGTTTCTATTTTTCCATAGACGCCTGGCAAAAGAAAAACAACTCTGCACCTCACAGACATTTTAATAATTCATACTCAACTTCAGTTCCTGCAATTTTAATAAACAAGTGCTTATTAGAATACAATAATTTCCTTTTAGAACAGGCAGTTTTTAAGGAATGAAATAACAATAATTGCCTCTAAGAGTGTGTATGAATAACAAACATTCAGTCCTCCTGGTTTTGTTGTTTGGTTCATTTGCATGGAAACCTTCCCCACTGTGCCCCTTGCCTTTAGTTTAGCAGAGATTCTGCTTTTAATTGGACACAATATTCAGCTGGGTTCAAACCAAAATTTGTATGTAAAAAAGCTACACATAACAACCAGCTCATCCTGGAATCCATTAAAAATATCATGAGAGATTGAAATGAGATTATTTCAAGAACTCTCCTGCATTCATAGGAAAGCAGATTTTTGGCACTTGCAGAGAAGTTCTCAGGTAAGAGAGATGTAGGTGATAGCATTGTCCTCTTGGTTCTTCTTCCTGCCCACAAACTTGGGGTGAAGTATGAATAAATGTTTTCATTCTAGGTGAGGATTTTTATTATTTCTTTCACTTAAAAAAAAAAAAAAAAAAAAAAGGCTGTTTTCACATAGAGCAGCTTTCATACACTCCCACTCCCAGCAAGAAAATGGATAAGCAACATGGAGACTTTAGGTTTCTCCTTCTAGCACTTCACAGGGGAAATCTCCCAGAAAGAAGGAACCCATCCTTAACAAGATAATGATTTTTTGTGTGTTCTGGAAAGTCTTGTAGAACTGCTTAATGGAAGAGAACATGGGGGAATAACTTCAACCTTTGCAGCAGGGAAAAACAATACCTTTACAAGTCAGAGGCATGCTCCCTAAGGATACGTCTGGATTTTTGAAGGGCAAGTCCTCCTGTGAGACTTGTCTTGCTGGCTGCCCCACAGTGACCTCATAAAACATTCCCAGAAGGGGTCTTGAAGTAATCAGGCTACGGTGTGACTCCTGAGACAGCCTGCTCTCCCAGAGAGGATGTACACCCAACTCCTGCACTGCTAACAGGTGTCAGGATGAAGCAGCAGTGTATTCTCCTGTATCAGGTAATGAATAACCTTTCAATTTTGTATTCACAGCTGTGCGTCTTCCTTTGGACCACTGAGTGTAGCTCCAGCTCAGGTTCTTGGTGAAAGGTCTGTGCTCACAGAGGCCATGATTAGTGGCCAAACAAAACAGTCTCTGAATTTATCCCATCTTACTAACGATCACACTCGCTTAAGCGTTGAAAGTTTGTTGATCCCAAAGGTTTGGGACACTAAGAAGAAGTTACAGAGGTCAAGGTGTTTTTTTTAAAGCCTTGTTTCTAGTTGCTTACAACTTTCAGCTCCCAAAATAAATGAGCTGAAGTTTGGCTCTCTGTAGATAAAGACATTTGCACTATACCAAAAGGGCTTCCTAGAGTTCAGAGCAATTCCTCTGCACCATGCAGTCCTCCTGTAAGAATTAATCACTGGTAAAGCACAGTGGGGTCTTTCGGTGAAAGGCGCTAAAGAAGTAAATTGCAATTTCCTCGTACAAATTCCACTTTTCAAGATTTTTTTTTTCCTAAGAGAGAATTTAAGTTAATTGAACATTAATATGGCTCAGTTCTAAAGCAGATCCTTAGCTGATATAAATTAACATAGCTCTGACTCTTTTTTCCTAATCCATACCTTCTTGCCAAGCCAGGAATGGATCTTTGGTGAAACATAACCAGGACAACTACAGTTACCAATAAACACCTTTCCTTCAAGAAGGTTAAGGACCCAATTTCCTCTGATTTTGGTAGGACTTGCTCCAGGTCTAGAAGAGGAAGCAGACTTCTCTTTCAGCATCCCAAATTTTGTCCATTTGTAAATGAACTCAAGCATTTACAAGAGCCTATGGCTTGGGGCTTCTCCCAACTCATTTCCCCTGGTGTATCACCATAGAGCTATGCAGGGAAAACATAAAAATAAATAAATAAATGAATAATGACTGTGTTTGGATCTAACCTAGTTTGGGAATCCCTAGGATGCAGCAGAATTGAACTGGCTACCCAGTTCCAGCTGTGTAAAAAAGCCCTGGCTTCTTTTTAAGCTTATTTATATACAGATCAAACAAACAGACTTCCAAGT